GTTTGTAAAAAGTGATGAACACAAACATCAACAGTTTCTTTTGTTTACAAATCTGTTTTAGAAAAGGTGTCTGTGTCAAAAGTCAAAGGTCACTCTAACATCTACACACACAAACATTTATTTACAAATACACAATACAAAACATCACTCGCTCCCATTGTGTAATGGACCTCCCCACTGGTATAAAATAAATAAATAAATAAATAATTGAAAGGAAATGTAGAGGAGTGAGACATCCCGTTCTGTTCTCATATTGCTACTGAGATTTCTTGTACCGTTATCTATGAGTAACAGCTACACATGGACCATCCATACCACTTTTTTTATCCTGGCTATGTATTGTGGGCTCATGTTTTTTGTATGGGTGGGATATGTATGTATATATGTGTTGTGTTGTGTGTTTGTATGTATGCTGGCTGCTGGAACACCTAAATTTCCCTGCTGGGATGAATAAAGTATATCTTATCTTATCTTTTTATCTATCTCGTTCGATCGGGGGCTGTACCACGGTGATCCTATGAGGCATGCCCCCTGTGTGTATGTGTGTGTTGGTGGGGGGGGGGGGTGATCAGGTCCAATGGGGTATGTGGTCCTCAGCTCACAGCCTGATGGAAGAAGATCCCTGAGTCACCATGGAGACCTGCAGAGAAGGGGGGGGGGGGGAGATCAGACACCATGAGTACAGGTGTGAACCCAAAAAACTTCAGATATTTCTAGATATTTTATAAGAAACTCAGATTCCAGAACCCCTGCTGGGCCCCGCTATAAACCCACATTTTCAAGTGTGGTTTTATTTCTGTGCTTTAAGACATTACCATGACAACAATATGAGTGTTGTTGTTGTCTTTGAGTCATCCTTTCTCACTCTTTGTTTGAAACAGTGAAACTCATCTCACATGTTTAGAGTGTGTCCTCTTGATAAATTATGAAACGTTTCTCATCATCTTGTGAACTGAACTCCATCAGCATGAGAGCGCAGCTCTGTCAGAGTGAGAGTGCAGCTCCGTCAGCATGAGAGCGCAGCTCTGTCAGAGTGAGAGTGCAGCTGCATCAGAGTGAGAGCGCAGCTCCATCAGAGTGAGATTGCAGCTCTATCAGTGTGAGAGTGCACACCACCTCCCCCCATTCCGCTGCTGACCTGCATTCACACTGCTCCAGGACTAACCGGCCTGAGCACGGTTACCTCTTGTACATAATGTCGTAATATAACACATGCATGACTTTACGTAATTATGAAGCTTGCATCAGACAGGTGGACTCCAAAATAAAAAATAAAGAGTCTGCGTCTGCACATTGGAGAACAACACAGAGACCATTACAGCTACTTTACTGACTTTGTGGCTTATTGGAGTCGTTTTACTCAGATACAGCCAGAACACTCTCGATAATGGAGGCTGTACACGCTGAGTGCCCGTGCTTGTGCTCGTGCATGAACTTTACCGTGCCGAAGCACAAGCGTGCCAGGGCCAAGGAAGTGTGCCGTGCTAGAGCAAGGATTAGACAACTCACACTAGTCAAACGATCTGGACTCTAGGGTGAAGCGTGCTTGGGCAAGGTACGGATGGGCCAGTGAGTGCGCCCTTAGACTCAGAGATGGAGCAGATTCATGAACGATTTATGGAGATATTAGAGACTGTGATCATTCTGAGTGAATCAGAGCCTCTGTGTTTACATACTGATTGTATGGAGCTGCATGTGTAATTATTTAACATGGTTCACTCATGTGTTTCGATTTTAAGGTTCAAGCTTAATCGTGTGTGAAGAAGTGTCATATGACTACAAACATGGCTGCCGTCATCCTGCAGAGATTTACAGTGACATTGTCACAATTTAATGAACATACAGCTGGACTCAGATTGGACTGTTTAATGATCTGAAGAGAAATTATTACAAACACAGGCTGCTTAGTACACAGTGATGTTTCTGCTACTGAGGGAGCAGCCTCAGACAGGGAGGGGGTATCAGGCAGGGAGGGGGTACCAGACAGGGAGGGGGGTATCAGACGGGAGGGGGGTTTCAGGCAGGAAGGGGGGTATCAGACGGAGAGGGGCTGTGGAGGTGAAAAATGGGTCTTATTTCCATATAAAGAGCTCTATTAATCACTCTGAGTGTCATTACAGCGAGGCTCATTGAGCTCAGCAGCTCTTAAATAAACTCAGAGCTCCATGCCTTCAGCTCGCCATACATCTTCATTTATAACTGCCAGTGGATGGGGGGGGGGGGGGTCTCTCTTGTACCTTTATTCCACATGGTAAAAACATCAAATCATCGAGTGTGTGTTGGCTGAATACTTTAATACTTTATAATTGATCTCAGAATCTCCTCTACCACCGGCAGACAAAACGATGAAATATAGAAATCTGAAAATGCAGTGTTAAGATCAGACTTAGGAGGAGGGAAGTTAGTGACATACGTTACTTACATAACCCTGTGAGAGAATCAGGCCTTGGCGTGCAGCTCTACATGTAGTGCCACTGTCCATCCATCGCCATGTTCATTC